GGGGAAACCAGAGTCTGAAAGAAGGAAAATCTAGGCTTTGGTATCTATTGAATGTCAAAGTCATAGGACATAACCTGAAAATGACATTAAATCTTACGCTACAATTTTATTATTGGCTCCATGGCCAACCAAAGTTTGCACTGCTTAAGAGAATGATGAAAATGTAAAGCAGCAATTGTTTAAAATTTCATTTGTACAACCCAGACTCTTACCTCTCAAGACTAGGACATGCTGCAGGCTGTTAATGACTCACAATCAACTAATGTAGAGGGCTCTGAACCTCCTTAATGAAAGAATGTGCTTCAAGATTCAATGGTTGGGAAGAGAGGGAAAAAAAACAAAAGCAAAACCCAAAGCGCAGCAGTTTTTCAGGGCTAATAAGGCTTCGGTGTTCACTAACTTCAGGTTTTACTCTATAGCAAGAAAGCACTGATACAGAACTGTGAAATTATCTTTAAAGGGTCTTTCTAACAGGGTTTCAGAAAATGATTTTCAGATGTTTAGAAGGGAAATACTGTGAGTTAATTCCTATGTACTGTCAGGAAGAGGATTGCTATGGAGTTTGGGGATTTTAAATGTCCAGTGACAAAGCAGTTGTATCAGTTATGCCATCTTGCCTCATTTCCCATATGTAGCACTGTCCCTACACATAGCTGTGGATGCTTCCCAGGCTTGCAGAAACCGTTAACAAAGTAGTGAATACAGCAAAGACTACTTTCCTGCCACTTTTTAAGGTTTTGCTCTACCTTTGTCCTATACTTCTATGCTTGTCTTATACTACAGTTATGTTATGTAATTTCTACTTGGTGTAAATACTTAGTGTAGTGCATTCTCAGCTGCTTGAAAGGAGAGGTCATGTCTGATTCGAACTGACAACTCCTAGGATAGTGCCTTAAATACTGTAAATACTTCATAAATATTTGGGAAACATAAAAGAAAGGAAGAATTGAGATAGGAAGAGAGAAAAAGGAAGCAAATTGGTTGTCAGTTGCCCATTTTGTGTGAAGCATCATTTGTTTTTGTTTTGTTTTTTGTTTTTTGGTATTGGGGATCAAACTCGGGACCTTGTGCTTGCGAAGCAGGAGGCAGAACCACTGAGCTAAATCCCTGGCCCTTAAGTATCACTTTTTTTTTTTGGTACCGGGGACTGGGGATCCAACTCGGGTCCTCGCACTTACGCAGCAGGCGGTGAAACCACTGAGCTAAATCCCCGGTGGATGCATCACTTTCTTTATAAAACTTCCTGCAGTCCATTAAATGGTATGAATTTACCTTGTCTCTATGCTGTTATTCTTTTTTTACTTTTTATTTCCTACTTCTCTGTATTTTATTGTATATATGTACACCCTATTAAACTATGAGCATTTTCACAGTTTTTATATTACCACCAACACTTGGACTATAAACTGATCTCAAAAAAAGTATGCTGAATGAATCAATATATGACAATATGTGCTTAAGAGCCACAGGGACTGGTTACATGTCAGTGTAATATCGCTTCTTACTCCTGTGCTGAAAGGTACTATTACCTTAAGTTTGGTCAGAATTAAGCCTCACCAATCACAACACACATCAAAATTTCACAAAGAGTAAGAGATAAGTTTAATGTTCTAAAAGATGTCAATATAATTGATCAGTTCAGTGGGGAAAAAAATCCTTCACACTTGTAACTGGTACTGAAGTTTTTGTTTTTAACTGGATGTACTCTATTGGAGGGAGAGAGAGAGAGAGAGAGAGAGAGAGAGAGAGAGAGTGCTCTCTCCCTGTAAACATTATTTGCTATCTGAAAATCAGGCATTCTGATTTTTCAAACTCATCGGTTACTAGGAAAGATTTTAATATTTTAGTATATATTCTGGTGAAGTGAGCATGAGGAGAGATTTTTCAAAGACAAGGCAAAAAGTTTTCCTTTGTACATGAAAGGTTACTTCAAACACTTGACTCAAGCCAGTGCTTGTCTTATAAATGTAGAGGCACCATTTTTGCTCAGCTATTTTTTATGTTCAGTTCTTTAAGAGCATGTTTTGTCTCCTTTCCTTACCACCAAAATCTTATTTTTGGACTACTACAGTAATAACTTTTTAAATACTGTTTTGCTCACAATGTTTTTCTAGTTGGTCCCAATCCACTTCCATCTATACTACTCAATCAACTTTAATAAATTACATCTTTTTGTAAATCTCAAGTTCAAGAAAACTCAGAGGTTCCTGATTAAGTATATAATTCAAAACTCACAGAAATGTACTACCAGGATTCAAGACCCACCACAAATGGAATGCTGCCTTAGCCCATTCTTCCTTTCTAAATTTCATCCCTTTACCACCAATATCCTAAATTCTAGTATTGTAGAAATTAAAAGCCAGACGGTTCTCCTACAATCACCTACATGTTGATTACTCATCATGTAAAGGATCATTTCACTGAATATTTTTTCTTCTGTCCAGACTTCAATATTATTTTCTCTGAAACATGATTCTTTGAGTCTCTCTTATGCTAAATAAACATTTTACTGAATTTGGTTAGGTTATAAGATCATAGAAAAACTCACCACACCAAGATGTATTTTGGGGCTAGTTGTATTGGTAATGATCCATTCATTTGGACAGTAAAATACTATACATAGAAGTATGTGTGCTGCATGGAATTGGTGGGAATTTATGCAAGCTTTTACATCCTCACATCTAGTGAGGGTGTCTGTGTTTAATCACACTTTGAGAGTTCTGTGCCAGGTGACTGTGTTTGGGACGAGAACTAGAGTCTGAGTTAACACCACTATGGAGGGCAACATAAAAAGGAAACTTAGCAATTTCTTTCTTTCCATTTTTATTCTTAACTCAGCTTTGTTCATTATCCATTCAAGGAGATGAACTGACCTGGGACAATCGAGAAGACTCAAGAAGTGCAGAAGTCAGTCTGTGGAGTGCACTCCGCCTTCTCTTTGCAGAGACACTGGGCACCAGATGCCAAGAAACAGCCACCAAGGGACACCCAGCACTTGGAGGTGCTGCTAAGTTTCCCTCACTCAGAGGGAGCTACTGCCTGGTGAGCTCCAAGCTCTAATAAATATTTTACCTCATAGCAAGTAGAGACAAGAAGGAACAGAAAGGCTATTTATTTTTCCTTTTTATCCCTGCACCCCCCTAAAATATGTCCTAAGACCATGGATATCAAAACTGCTCAATTTTGTCTGTGCTAGACTGAGCAGGGATGAGAAATTAGTGCAAGTGCTTAAAGCTGTAATATTTCATCTGCGATTCAACCCTATTGTACCATTCATAACACACCTGCCTTTTATTAAAGTTATATCTATCCTTGTTCTTCTCTTTCCTTCCCTATGTTGCTGCCTATGCTGACTCCTCCATTCATGTATGTTTCCGGATGGACAGACTGAGCAATCTTGTAGAATGCGCTGTCTCAAGAGTACATAATAGAGCTTTGTGCATATTGAGTTTTTCTGGAGTAGTGTTTTTTATGAAGCTAATTAAATTCTGTAGGACACAGTATGTCCCAGTTTTTCCCATTGTATATATTCTATTAGACTGTCTCCAGGAAGCATGCTTATATCTATCAAATCATAAGTCCAAATGTTTGGACTTTTAAACCCTAGAATCTGGTGGTTCACAATTCTGGTGTACATCATGTGATCTGTAAAACACTTTTAAAATACATGCACAGGACCCACTGGTACTAGCTGAATCTGATTCTCTGGGAGAGCCGCTCTAGTATCTATACTTTGGAAAGCTCATAAGTGATTAAAATGTTTAAGCAAGGTGGTAATATCTCACTTTGCAACTCTTGGAGGCACAATTTGAAAGTCACTAGACTACATTATTTCTAATTTTTTTTCTTTTTCCAACTGTAGAATTCTTTGTGAAAATGCTTTCATTCTGTAATTGAAAAAGAAATGACCCTTTGACCATATTTCATTTTTAAGTAGTAAGTACAAGTGAAATGCTGCCTGAATTTGGGATGCTCCTGTGGTGTTTTCAGCATGTTATTGCTTAGTACTCTCATACGGCCGTGCATCCTGGCGCTCATATATTGGACCGCTTCTGTGTGAGAGGTATGTGAACTCTGCACTATCTCGTCATGCCAAAATTTGTATTGTGACCCAGGCACCCCTGTTAAGGAAATCCCTTTCATCTAGATACACTACGAACACCCACTAATGACTTTCATTCTCTGTAGTTCAATTAAAAGAGGATGCCATACCATCAGAATAGCCTACGTACTAGCGCATCTCCAAATATGCCTGTCATTGAAATAAGAAACCAGAGGGGAAAAAAGGAAATAGACCCAAATTCCTTCCTTAAAAGCAAACTGGAACTAGCCCAGACACCTGCGTGTAATTTCCAGCATTAAACCAGGAACAACTAAGCTACTATTTTCTGAGAAAGATGTTTCTCCCAGTTCTTACCTTAAAGGATTCATTTGCTTGGGAATTAAATATTTTCAGTTGAACTCTTAATAATAGAAACTATTAAAATACATCTGGAATTGTCTTTTCTAAAAGGTCCCAGCAGTGCCCAAGAAATATGAGGGACACTATTTACACTTTCCATGTGAAACATTAGCAGGTACAGGGTACTTTACAGTTCACGGAGAATGTTCAAATACCCATCTCTTTTAATGCTCCTAACAATTTTGTAAAGAGTCAAACAGTCATTTCACAGACAACCCAGACTCCTGGATTGCTCCAAACTCTCTGAACTAGAAACTCAGAACTAGTTCCTAGGAGTCAGAATGTTTGACAAGCTGTTCAGGTAATTCTGAAAGCCACCATAATAACTCAATTCAAATTCATTGATTTGTTTTATTGTTCTTAGAAAAATAACCAGTGCAGCTGACTGAACAGATTCTGGCATTTGCTTAGAGGCTAGCTGGCTTTGTCTAGGATTTGCCATTTTCTTTCCATTATATACTTCAAAGAGGGAAAAAGTCACAGGTGGTACTATTCTATCTAAATCTATAAGTTTTTAAATCCTGCTTTGCACAGCTGGCTTATTCTAATGGGTTCCTGCTCTGAAGAAAGCTTCTAGCTGCTCGCACAGGTTGCGGAGAGGCTTGGATCCTGCCCACTACCCTTCTGGCCATCACTAAGGTCCTAACCAGGGACCACAGGCCTCCTTCAGCAGACAGCTGTAATTACATGAAAGTTATTGGACGTTGAAGTACAAACTCCTGGAACCTGCTGAGACATTTCAGTGAGCCTCAGCATTCTACTCTGAAGGCCTCTAGTTGTTGCGGTTACACTCAAGGGAGAATCAGTCATCAACTATTTGTGCAGGTATGTGTCTTTACCTCCAAAGTAAAAGATTCAGCGGATCCTTGATTTACAAACTTGATTGGTTCCCATGGACTGGTTGTAACTCAAGTTCATTGTAAGCCACTACAGCTGAGATCTGGATGTTTACCCAGGTACAAGCTATAACAAGATAACAAGGCAGATGAATCTTCATTAACCTAAGTAACCCAAGTTGTTCATATGTCAGGCTGGTCATAACCTGAGGGTCCACTGTATACTCTTATCCCTCCTGCATTATATTAGAACATTGTACCATAATAGCTACTTTAAAAATAACATTTAGTGGGCCGGGGATTTAGCACAGTGGTTTTGCTGCCTGCTACGCAAGTGCAAAGATCTGAGTTCGATCCCCGGTACCAAAAATAAATAATAATAATAACATTTAGTATATAATAACATGAAAAGCAACAAGAAAGGGACCCTGAAACAAAACTTCTTGGAATAAAAGTACACATATCAAGGGAGAAGATAATGTTATTTTTACCTTATAATTACCCCTAAATCGCACAGAGATGGGAGAGAAGTAGATTATGATTTTATGTCTGGAATGAACTACACTTGACTGGAACTGAAGATGCAAGAAAGAGGAAAAAACCCTTAAGAATGAAAGGAAAAGAAAGTGTGCGTCAGCTTCCCCAATCTTCCAGATTCTCAAACTTTCCAAATTCTTTTGGTTCACCACCTCAACCTTAGTAATACCCTTGTGGGTAACAATCCCCAAGCTCCTCCAGTTACTATTTCGGGGAAATCTGTCTGTCTAGAGAACTGAGGTTCCCAGGAATCTGGCACTTTCCCCTGGGGTAGCAGAAGGTGGTAAGGGTTAGAAGACACAGGCATGAACACAAACTTGCTGGGAGTTCAGTGCCTCGTCATGTGCTGGCCCTTTGGCTTGGATAGAAGCACTGCAGGAAAAGCAGAGCCTGCCTATCTCCTGATGCGGTGACTGCTCTGCTTCAGACTTTACCCTCTGTCCTGACAGTGCCTCACAGGGCAAAGGGCACTGGGAAAGGACACGAGGCAGTTTGCCACATCGTTGAACAGCTCAAAGGGTAGAAAGGCTTTATCCTTTTCCTCCCTGCTAAGTAGATAAGGGAGCCATTCTTTAGAGACCACCCAGTGCCCCTTCTTTCTGCTGTTTTGTCTTCTACCCTTTAAACTAAGTATCCATGCTGCTAGGTTCATAATTAAAGGATTGGCAATGCCTGTTCCCTTGCTTTCAGTTTTATTTGTAGGAATGTTCCCATCACTCTCTTTAAAAGCCCTGGGCACATGTTCAAAACATACAACCCAAACAAATAAATGGTACAATTTAAGCCAATCCCACCAACAACTGGAACATCTTTACTATTGGAAAGGCCACCCTGAAAAAGCTATTGCAATGTATTCTCAGAATCAGTGTTCACAGAACTGAAAGTGGGTTTATTTTGTTTTGTTTTCTTTTGTTTGTGTGATACCAGGGATTGAACCTAGGGCCTCGCACACTACTACTGAGTCACCAACCAGAAAAGCTGAAGTTTTTATGTTAGCATCTTATTACCAAGGAAAGGTAGGGCATGCACATCAGCCATGGAATCGGCTACTTAAGAGTCAATGACATCAACTTCTCCTTGATTGATGCCCTTAGAAAGCAGAATAGTTATCAAGGAGCAGAGTTCCTACAGAGGATTTTAGGTTAGAGTTACAGTTCAGGAGAATTTCTTACTTGCAAGTGCTGAGGAAGTTTATATTTAGAACTAAGTTCTTGATCATATCAGTGATTAACTTTTCATGGTCTTTGGAAGTAAGTTTGATAGCAGCTTTCCTGTCTGTCACTTTCCCTAAAGCTGACATGATCGTAGCAGTGGAAGCTATTATAATAAAAGGCCACGATAAGACGGAAACTTTACCAAGAGGAAGGACTCCAATGTATGGGGAAAAGAAAATTTATGACAAATTGATCTCACCTTGGTGTAGCAAAGGAAGGAATGGCACAAGAGAATTAGAAAATTCGGTGTGAAATTTCCCCAACCTAGTGTAGGAAGAGTGACCCAAATCCACTATAGAAAGCAGGCAGGAAATGGGGGTATTTGGCTGTAGCCAGTCTGTGACTCAAGCAGGCACTGCTGTGCCGAGGCACCACGGGGTGGGGATGTATCTTCTTCAACGTGGCAGCCCAAGGAAACCAGCAGCGATGCCATCGATCAACAGCAAGGGCCAAGAGCTCTGGTTTCCTTTTCCGACAGAACAAACTGCTCAAAGATTCTGTAAAGACAGCTCATAGCTCCAACACAAACTGAAAAGTTTATAACAAGTGGTGCCACCTGTGCTTGTGCCTCAGCCAAGCCAAATAATTTTCTCTCCTGGGTCCCCCAAGGATGACAAAGGGTGAGGAGCTGGCAGTGAGGCTGGGAAAGGCAGAAGGATCCAACATGGAGCCCTCAGAGCAAATGGCTCATCCTTGTCTGTGCTGGCAGTGAGTCTGCCTCTCTACTCTAGAGTGACTGCATGTGATACCATCTCCCATCCCTGTCAAAAAGGCTCTGTCTTCAGGAAAACAAAGACCTCTCTGCTCAGTGTTCTTCTCTCACATGATTGAGCCTTCTTGTTAACAATATCATATTATTACAACCTTTAGAAAGCTGGGGACATGGACACGGAGGAGTTTGTATTAAAAAACACAATGAAGAAAACAGCTTGTTTATACAGGCTAGTATTTTGACCATAATTATACTTTTCTCCACCTTCTTGATGAATAAGGAAATTTTGAGCCAGGTATCTGCAGAAAGCACTACAGAAGGGAGAGAAAATGGCACATCACCCAGGATGTGACCTACTTTATTGGAATCTTGTTGATACAAAGTTCTCTTCTGTTATCACTTACTTTCAGAAAAGTCTGTAATTCTCTTTTTCATCTCCAGTTTTAATGAAAACCATCCAGGGACAGTCCTAATTTTCAGAAAGAACAAATTTTTCAGTACAGGAGGCAGCATTTGCCAGTACAACAAGAAACCAGCCAAGTTGCTTTGGAGGAACTAAGCAAGTACATTTCAATAAGGACCCAAACAACCCTTGGCAACCAGTTAGAAAAACAAGTCTTTGCTGCATTAAGGAAACCCTCAAATATGAGTGCTGTCAGTGGAAAATAGAGTTACTCACCAACTGAAAATGTTTACTTGAAATGAGAATTATTTTATGGAAACCACTGTGAGTTTTGGAATACTTACAGTCTGTTCCAACCGGTCACTGTGTGCGATGTTACAGCAGCAATGTGCCCCAGACTTCTAATCTGCCTCGCCTAGCAAAGCAGTTGGCAAGATTCTCCACTGAGCTGTCAGCTCCTGGCAGTGGGGGACCACCTTTTTCATCTTGTATCTAGCATAGTACCCAGCCAATAAATATTGAGTGAGCGAAGGGATCTTTATATATACATATTTATATATATATGGCATACTGACCCCGGTATAAAATAATCCACCCCACCATCATTCCCATCCTTCTGCCTGCTTCCTTTTTCTTCTGAGTGATTATTGCCAGATGCTATGTTTATAAGTGATTCGGTTTATTTTTTGTTTATTATCTCTTTTCCTCCACCAAAACATAAGTTCCTTGAGGGTAGGGATTGAACAGATTTGATTTCCTATCCAGCTTCCTAGGATAGTGTCTGGCATAACAGGTGAATTGTAAATATGTTGACTTCAGAATGAGGGAATGAATGATGGGGATGACTTTTGAATGATAAAATGAATTCTTTCTGCCACTTTTAATTTTTTTCCTTCTTTATTTTTATCTGTATTGTCCAAATGAGGCCTCGAAATTATACTCTGCGCTTCAAACAATAGTAACAAAAGGACAGCAGTTGACTCTACAGAATGTAAGTAAGGATGGGAGAAATAGATCTTACTGGTGTCAGGCACACGAGCCTACAACCCATCAGAGAAATGTGAGCGATAAAATATAGAGAGATGGAGGCAATCAAAATCCATTCTCCTGGAGGCCATGAGCCAAACACTTCATAAGTGCTGCCAAGCCACCACCGAGAGTAGTAAACACATTTGTGCAGCATCCTGTAGATTTTGTAATACTTACTCTATATCAAGTGATTAAAGCATAAAACCGGTCTTATCATCCTGAGAGGAGTCTTCATTAACTTCCATGTTTGGGGGGGCACAACTACTCCTCATCTACTGTGAAGGTCTACTTTTAATATAACTTTTGAACTCAGGGTAAATTTTTAATATGACAATGTAATACTTCCTTTCCTTAAGTGCAGTGTTTCTAAACTGTCTTTGCATGTGAACTAACAGCAGCTCACAACCAATCACGACTTTTCCATTTTGCCACATCCACTTAGTGGTTCATAAAACCAGTGGCCCCAGGTTCAGTGACTTCCCCTGCCTTGCAGGGTGAGCCTACCAAATCGAAAACCTTCATCTATAGACGCTGATACTGTTTCTTTCTTTTCAAACCAAGATAGAGAAAGAAGTTCTTTGTTCTTTGCAGATGTTTGTAAGGTGTGCTGACACTTGAACAGCCTTGTTTTTGCAGTTTATCAACCTGGGTATCACCGAAGGAACCTGGGATAAATAGGAAAGTGGCCTTGCTGCTCAGTTTGACACTGGAAAATCAAAGGCCCGGGGAGAGCCTTTCTCAATGGGCTTTGCATTCTTGTCCCTCCTCTCCACTCCTGCCTCCCCTGAGCATCTCATACCCTCTACCCTGACCTCAGCCCCCTTGCTGCTGCTTCCAGAGAAACACTTGCTTGGCTTGTTTTCCTAATGACTCTTATCTCTCCCCTAATTTATCACAGTGGAAATTGCACTGGAATTGCGAGAACATAATCCTAGCCCTGTTAAGAGTTGTGTGTCATGGGGCAAGCTGTTCAAACCTCCAGAGTCCTTGGTTCTTTATCTGTAAGACAGAGATAGGATATTTATTTCACAGGGGTTTTGTGCATACTATATAAAACCCTGTACTTGAAACTGCCATGTAGAACTTGGCTCCTAAAACATGTTTGATAAATGTTTAGGGGACAATATCTAGATATTTGTTCTGACTTACATTGGTGATTCTGATGAAACTTTCAAAGCATAAAACTGAAAAACATTTTTCAAGTGAATGGTAGGAGGATTCTCTCAGAAGAACCAAGTGTGGCATGGGGAGGAAAGGTGGAATATTTAGGGCCCTGGCATACAGCCGAACAGAATTGAACCTATACAATCTATATGACTGATGATAGTCACTCATTTGTGCAAGGGAGGTAAAAATAATCCTCTTTTAAAATTTGGGGATGATAACCTGAAACAACAGATGACTCGTGCACTAAAGCTAGTTGTGATGAATTAATATAATAGTTTGTCTGGCTCTTTTAGTAGTGATGAGAAAGCTCTCCGGAAGTTCTAATATAATCCCAAGAAATACAACTCAAGATTAGCAGGATGACTTAGGAACTGTTCACTCAGTTCGTACTAACTCTAAGAGATTATGTCATTGACAATTGTATCATAGCACGGGGTGAGCATCTTGCTGTGTACTTAGAAGACCATGTAGCAGGGACAGGAAGGTGACAACTGTGACACAAGCAGGTCTCAGTGTATAGATACTATATATATTATCATGCTTAATAATGTCATTACCTCATTTCCTTAGTTAATGCTTCATGTCTACAATGTATTTCATGATTTTAGAGTGATTAGGCAACAGGCTTTAGATTGAGGGTGACCCAGCTGCTTGACTGAATTTCTATATAAACCTGAACCTCCTGAGCCCTGGTTTTCTTAGAAAAGGAGGAAAATTGGCCCACTTCTTATGGTTCTTAGGGAACATGTGGAAAATGAATAAACAAAACAACCCAGAGACTCTTTATGGTGTTGAGCCACTGAATTAACCAATCCTGAGAGCCTATGCCTGGATTTCATATGAGGTAGTAAAAATCCTTATTAATTAAGAAACATGTTGGATTTTTCTTTTATGTGGATCTCATAGCATCTAACAGGTACATCTCTTCTTTTTAATACTTCAGTGAGTGAACACATATTTAAGAGAATGGAACATAGAACTGGCCCAATGTTGTGTGTCTACCACTTCTTTGGTCTTTTTTTGGGGGGAGGGGTTACCAGGGATCAAACTGGAGACCTTCTGCTTTTGAGGCAGGCGGCGGAACCACTGAGCTAAATCCCCGGCTCTTCTTTGGTCTTTTTGAAATAACATATTGGCAGTACATAATGATTACATTTATCACAGCGGACTTGTACATAACATATTTTAATTCCTTTGTCATCTCCTTGTCTTCCCATCACTCCTTGCTTCTTCCAACTTTTGTTGCCTTCGCATTTGCAAAAGCTCTCTTTCCATTTATTCTTCCATTCTCCTTTTAAAAATTCCCTTTCCCTTCCCTCTTTCCCCCTTCTTTCTATCTTTTGTTTCTCTTCCCATTTGAAAAAGTCTCCCTACTTCCTATTAATCTAGCTTGTATTTTGCTCTTTATTTACTTCTACTATTTTTGATGCAATGTTCTTCACCAGGTTAACCTAAACCAAGAGAGCCGTGCGCGCGTGCGTGTGTGTGTGTTGCTAATTAGACAGCTCATAAAACATAGCTGAAAAATCCACTCAGCCAAGTTTTATTAATACCACACTTGAGGGACATATTGGGGAGCAGTCCTCAAGTCAAATGAGCCAATGAAAAACCTATGATCTGCTAAACACCGGTTTATTTCTCCTTTTAAACTCTGGAAACAGACCAGGAATCTGGTTTTCTGTGGGAAAAAGAATGTTATGAATTCTAAAATCTCCTTGCATCTATAAACTTCCTTAGTAACACTCGAAGTGTAATGTTACAGGTAATCACTGGGCTGCAGTATCCCCAAGAACTTGGAACATCATCATTTCCTGGTGGGAGTTTCATTATTTGCTCCTCACAGAAACCTAGTCCGGAAGACTTATAATTCTAAGTTAAAACACTCTGACCATCTAAACCTGGGAAATTTACTCGCAGAAAGAACTCAGCATGTTTAGTGTTCTTTAGGACTGCAGTGAAACTTTACCCTGTGACCTGGTACCCTTTGCAAAGAAGAAGTTTTCAGTGTTTGAATGAAACATACAAGTTTATTTGCAAACATGTTTAAAAGTTACAGAGTTCAAGGTCTTGGCTTGATACATAACCAAAGTAGATTGTGTTTTACATGTTTCCTTTTAAGTGCGTGCTACTTTGTCTCTCTTTCCTTGACCACCCTGTTTCACACCTTAAATAATTTGTATTAGTCAGATTAGAAGAAGAAACATAATCTGGGCCCTGGCCCAAGAACTCAAACATGAATGACCCAGGGTAACCTCTATGCTAAATTAACAATTCATTAAATATCTCTTAATCTACCTGAATAGGTAAACATCTCATTTTTCACTGTTTTTAAAATTTTATATGACCCTGACACCTAGGGGACTTTTACAGTGATAGTTTACTTCTTCTACTGTAAAGGATTTCAGAGCAACAATAAATTAGCTTATTAAATAGATTATCCTATTTTAACAAGTAATTTATCTTTTGTTTTGACCTTTTGATGGTAACAAACTTTTTTTTTAACCTTTTTTCTGATAATAGGTCAAAAAGTAGAAATTCACATGTGTATCCACTTACATAAGGACAGAAGTTTATCAGAAGGAAAATGCAAAAGAACTTTCAGCTAAACTGGACATATTTCTTAGCAATATTTTTCTGAAAATGACAATCCCCACTAACGTTCTACATCCACAAATGAGGGATGCCCGTAGATGAAGTTTCCAGGGTCACTATGTCCTCTCAGGCACACACTGCAAACAAGTTTCCCTAACTCTTCTCAGATCACCCATTTCTCACTTTCTTAAACATGAAGCCATGAAGGATGCTGGGAGGAAATGATGGTGTGACATAAAGGTGTTTGCTGGCATGACTCAATGGACCTATTGCACATTATCTACCTGAAAAGGCAAGGAAAAGGAGAATTGAGTCCTTTCTCAGCTGTTGACAGTCTTAACGGACCTGCTGATAGCACCAGGCAGAATGGAGTTTATACACTTGAAGTTTAAGAGAAAGCACTTATGGTCATAATACTGGAGTGATAGTTAGCTAACAGTGCCAGGAAGCCATCTCAAGGAAGTTTACGAAGCACTGTGTCTTAGTGTTCCCAGTGCCTGAGCCATTTGCGGAAGATGGGAAAGCAGTGCAGTTGGTCCACACCATGTCCTTCTGTGGAATTCCTCCTTCTGGCCACAGACAATGGTGGGAAGGAAATAAGATGACTACTGGACTGATTGTGTTGTCAGCTGCCTCTGTAACCATCCAGACAAATTAGAAGGCACAGTGCCAGTGTGTGGGGCCAGGGTGGGAGATGGTAGACAATAAAGATGGAAGAAGGAAAGTAAATAAAGAATGTGCTTAAGACAGAAAGAGGAATCTCCTCATTTCATTCTCTGGACTTTACAGTCCCCTGTTGAGGTTCCCAGCACAGGGAAGAATGGCCACAGCTGACTGGATAGACTCCGATCCTGTACCTCCCCAGGCTACTCTTGCTAATATTTCTGTGTTCACTGGGCTTTCCTTGCCAGTAATACAGAACACTTACTTTAACCCTGGGGAAGGATGGGACAGAAGCCAAAGTTACAGGCACTCAGGCTTCCTTAAAACACTGCATCTTCCTACATCCAGGGAGAGGCCCCGATTCCCAAGTGTCTGCATGCATGCTGTGAGGACTGATTGTATCAACTTGGGAAGTTTATCTAAAAGAAGCTTAACTAAATCAGCTCGAAATTCTGCACCCTATGAGAGGAAGACCCATCCTCGGGTGGCTCCTTGCCTGGATGGTATAAAGAGGAAATAAGGAAGGACAGATCAGTTTCCATCTCTTCGGAGAAGCTCCAATCTTTACCTTCACCTTGGACGTCATCTCCTAGCTGCCAGCGCAGACTCTTCAGCTTCCCTCACAGACCCATTGGCCTCCTCATATGGACTCCTGCAGTGAGCTGCAGACCTTCAGCTGGATCCTTCTGTCTCCAGTGTCCAGACGGACCCTCTGCACTCTTTCCCCATCCAACTGTGGGCGGCCATTGTGAGCCAAGCTTGTAAATTCTTATATACTTGTATATTTCATGTTACATCTGTCTCTCTAGTAAATACTGACTGATACACATGTGCTTTCTCTTCTTCAGCCCAGAATTAGCTCAGGTAAATAAGATCAGATGGCCATAAGAGAGGCAGTTGGTATTAATGGAGAATAACACACTTGAAGGTGGTATGGATGACCCTGCTACCCTGATCTCACTGAAACTGCACGTTGCCTGGCAGGGTGTTGGATGTGATAATGAGTAATGAACCCACAGTGTGACTGGACTGTGCTTGGCTCTGCACTTAAGCATTCATTCCTTCATTCATACCTTCTTTAATGCATTTGCCCAAATATCTACAGAGAGTGCCAGGAGCACAAAGCAGACAGTTTGCCAGTCTGCTGTCATGGAGCTCACTGACCACTGCAGTCAGCCCTGGTAATTTTAGTTTTTGACATCCCTTTGTGATTAAAGTGCATTTCTCTTGCCCAGTTGTAAATTATAGACTTGTTAGAATATTTTCAAGCTTTTGAGAGAAAGAATATTATTTAATTTTAATGATTGGAAACAGAATCTTGGATCTCAGAGTTCCTGCTAACTGCTTTTAATTTGGCATGACAGTCTTCCAGCCTTGAAGCTCATTAGACTTTCCTTCAGATTTACTCATGGAAATGGACATGGAGAGGAGCTGGATCAAATCTGGAAGCCAAACCTCTAGTCCTCTCTATCCTGAGGCTGCTCCAACTACCCCTCACTTCTTTCTGCGCTCCAGGAAATGTGTAACGAGATGAGCGACCCTTCCAAATTACAAAGAAGGAGTCTTTTGCATCTCACTCTTCAAGTCGGAATTTTCAGTGCTAACATTTCCAGCCCCTCCTTGTAACACTATTCACTGGGAAAATGCACCCCATCTGGGGTCTGCCATGGAGCCTTCCACATGACGGGGGGTGCAGTGAGAGGATTTCCGGGAGAAAAAAGCAAAGCTGTTGGGGGATGAAGACAGTAGTTTTGCTGAGCCATAGCCCTGAGAAACCCCACAGTAAACTCTGCTAATAACTTAGCTGATGATATTTGATATAAGCTGGAATGGTAGCCATGTTTATAATCACTACATAAACAACATATTAATGACTGCCATAGGAGAGCTAAGGAGGGATTTAGACCTCTCTCAGTTGGTTTCTCAGAGCAATCCTTTAATTCCAGGTCAGGTTCCTCCTGCTTGGCGTTATCTGGGGCCTTCTCCAGCCACCTGCTTCTGCCTCTCCCCTCTCATGAAGATGATGGTGCAGCCTACAATCAACTCCCGTTCACCACATTTAATGCCATTATTTTTATTGAGCAAAATTTCTAACTGCTCAGAGCTATTACTGTTTAATCTGAAGAAGCACATTAGGAGTAATGTTATTACTGCAAAGATGAGCAAAAAGTCCGGGTACCCTGTTCTTTTTTCCCCCATCAACATGTGGCTTTTGTTCCTCATCCTGAAGTGCTAACAAGAGGTGAATACTCATGTGTATCACAGCACATTTGTCCAAACAAAAAATAAAGAGAATTAAAATACTTTAATGCAGTTTGTTTCATTAGCCTGCAATATCATTTCTGAGGTCATTTGGGATAAGCGCCAGGGATTGGCAACATACTGTGCACCTTTGAATTAATAATAGTTGTTATTCTTCATTCTTTCTCTCATTTACTCATTCCTTTAATGTACTTATTAAACACTTACTGCTTGCCTGGCACTGGGGGTGAAATAAAAAGAAAGAAGATGCTGTCCTTGCTCTCAAGGAGGTAAGGGGGAGATTATTCCTTAAAAAGTCATATATTAATTAAATCTGTGTAAATTCACATTAAAACTCAATAGTTTGGTTTTAAAAGAAGTTCTCCATGAATGCTTTTATCAGGTAAAGAACTGACTCCCTAATATATCTCCTTGGTAAGGTGAAATACACAACGCTTTTTTAAACCAAGGCATATTTTATCTCTTGGACACAAGGACTCCTTCCCTCTAAGGTTTTGTGCAAATGATTGTGATGTAGATGTGCAGATCTTTCAGAATAAGACAATAGGAGAGAGAGCTTTTCCTACATATCACAAGGTACTGATTATATTTATAGTGGTGTGCTAAAACACAATCCAATGTACATATTTTTCTAAAAGTGGGAGAATAGCACAGTGGACAGAGTGAGAGGAAGGCCATTAGGGCAAAGTTTTATGAAGTCCCCAAGTCTTGGATCTTAATGACAGATAGATCTGACAGAGAGATGAGCTCTGGCATCCTGGGGATCATGCTCCAGAGGTCAAAGAGAGTGCAAATAAAAGTGAAAGCAGTCTGGAAAATGTACATTAGAGCAAGAATTAACAGGGTAAGGTCTATTCTCCCCTGCTTCCCTTTATAGTATCTAGAAGGATGAACACTACAAGAAATATTATTCACTTACTGAGTAAAACCAGATTCGATCCTTTCATTTTCTTTCCCCTTCATTAGATTTATTTTAGACTATCTCTCATCTTAAACTTATAGTTCTGGAAAGGATCTTGAAAATGGTCCAGGCCAATCTACTTGTTTTGTGGATTAGAAACCCCTGGATTAGAATGACAAAGTAATCTGCTTAAGCTCACACATTTTTAGGGGGAAACTGAAACTAGAGCTGGGCTTTCTGATCCCCCCGAAGTGGAAAGTGATTTAGAGTTACCTGACCTTGTTTGAATCTGTGCTCTTAATTATAACTGTGTTGGTTTCCTTTGTATGATGGAGATAATAACACTTTACAGAGAACCTGGGAAAGATAGATGAGAAAGCATAGAAAAAGCACCTAGCAAAGTACCACAATCTTTATAGGGGTTCATCTCTGTAGGACTTTCTTCCCCCTTTCCCCAACAAAAACCATTACAAGGGACCATGACAGCGATATTTTGGAGCATGACTTCTCAAGTCAGTCTGAAATACCGGGCAATGGTAATAGTACTGATTGAAATCATGCATCATGCTTGCATGTATTAGCACACACACACAACCCGCACATTCATATATGACACGTTCATATACACAAATTTTCCCAAAATGAAGACTGAGCTGATATTTCAAACCTCTGGTAGAGAGCACAATAATGTCAATTATGTATATTAATATTGAATACCACTAACTGAGCACCTACTATGTGTCAGGTATTGTGGCACTTAAATTACATATACTAATCCTAATTCTCACAACATGATATGCACAGAAGGGCACAGAGGCTATGTTACCTATGGGCAATAAACTGGTATAAAGGTTTAAACAAAATCTATGGAGAATTTTAAACTCTCTAATTTTTTCCATGTGGATTAAATAAGAGAGGTAATTTCTTTCTTAACATCTTTTCTAGCACAATTTCCTGGATGCTTAAACCAGCAGCTGCTCTCCTTGGACATTCAATAGGCAATGTTGTTAAACTTAACTTGGGCAATTAAAGAATTGAACAATGGGCATGGATGACGATTTCTTCCAAGCACACACCTTCTGGGAGCATGAGTAACTATCCCTAAGGCCAGACTTAATTGGATATAGATCTAAATGAACTCTGACATGTTGAGTATTTACTGCTTGAAAGTACAAGGAAGAAAAATGCTAAGGTGAGAGGTCAGGAGGGTCTGCTTTTTTCTTTCTCCTCTGTGGTTCTGAAAAGCCCCCACTGTGGAATTTCTTTTTTTTTTATAGGTCACTCATTTTCATTTTCAAGACAACTCGTGTCACCTAAATGCTCTGGTGCCAGCCCAATCTGCAGCACAGATCTTCCAAAAGAATGCAGTTCTCTGGCTTCTAGAATTGGTCCAGGAATGGTATCAAAAACTTCCCAAAGCCAAAGCAAAGTACTTGGGGAGATATACTAAGAATTTTCACAGTTGTTTTATTCCTCAGAAGATAAAGGAAAGTAGGCAATCCTAAGAAATGATGGGACTATTAGGATAAAAGTGAGTAGAATCATAAAGAAGCTTTATGTATGGTGCCTCATTTAATTCCCATAATGATTGTTCCTAATTGTTTAATCACAAGTACAATTCTAATCCCCATGTTATCAAAGAGTAAAGTGAAGACATTCCTCTAACACCATACTGCAGTAAGGGGTGGAGATGTTCTTCAACTGGAGGGAGCCAGCGCTCTGGGAAGATGGCTCTGCTTTGAGGCTGTCCTGGTAGATTAGACACTGGGCAGGCCCAATAGGAGAAGCTTTCAGGAGAAGGTGGGTCCTGAATGCATGACTTGGTTGAAGTGAAATGCAAGGGAGAATTGGTAACCAAGAGGGTAGAAGCAGGTAAAGAGAAGAATCTGGAAGATTCTAGATGATGTTCTTTGAATTTAGACCTGGACCAGGAGATGAGACCAGACGTGGTGGGTGGATATTTCAACACGGGAAGTGAACAACCTGAAGCTGGAGAATGAAGTGGGCTATTGGGCCAGAGAGGGGAGGGAATGGACTAGAGTAGGTAACTGTGAATTTGGGGTTCTGGAAAGGAAATACATCCAGTTGACTCCTGAAGGAAAATGAATAGTGTTTCTACAATAGGTCCAGTGAAATCCATGATAGAAAAGGACGTTTTAAAGAAGGGAAGGGCCACAACTTAATGTACATTCCATTGATTTGCCATAGCTTACCTTTGTTTGTTGTTGTTGCTAGTGTGTGTGAACTGCTCTTTCATCTGACAAGGATCTGTTTGGTACCCACTGTGTATCAGGCTGGCTGTGGGTTCTGCATCCTACAGCGTCCACTTGAGTAAACGATAGCAGCATATCTGGCCTGCATGGCAGGAACAAAAAGTTATCTGTGGATCCCAGTGAAGATGATGAAAGTCTCACTACCACAGAGTCAACAGTGGAGAATGCATTGTAGAAAAGTAAGTGCTCTGAGAAGGAGATGGAATCAATTAGAGTGACTATCATAGTGCAAGTGAAGTGTTGATTGTGTTGAATAAAATGAAAGCAGATAAAATGGTGCTTGAAGAGGAAATAGAATAGGAAATGCAGGTGAGATTTATAATGATGATAACAGTTCCCATTTGGAGACCTTGCTCTTTTTGGCTTTGTTAGATGCTTCACTTCTTCACCACCCTGTAGTACAGCTCTATCAGGAAGTTTCTGTTCTCCACTTGCAGATGAGGATGAGGGTGAGCAGTCATCCTCTTGCCTGGTACTTATGGCATTACTGGGGCACTGGACTTTTATCACCAACACTGGGATGGTTGGTTATCTTAAAGGAAACTAAGGATCATGATGATGAAATCAAGAAGAGGATGTGGTCTTATGCAAGGGGGTGTGTGTAAATTGATATTAACTGATATTAATACTTGTGTCCTCCATTACATAATGTTGTGTCAATCTTTAAAAATGCCAACCTTCATTCCACGCTCCTAGGTCAGAGAAGGTGAGCCAATCCCAGCACCCAAGAAGAGGATCCCCTGCAGCCATTCCACACTCCTAGGGCAGAGAAGGTGAGCCTCGTGGGTGCTAGAAGCACCCCCCGCCCCAAGTGGAAATGAGAAGACATGTAAACAAGCCTCAAAAACAGACTTCCAGATCACCTACAGCAATCCCAAAGAGAAATGAGATGGAACAATCTGATACTCAACCACCTGGACTCCCTGAACTGGCAACAAAAGAGGATCTGAAAAAATTAAATCAGAAATAAATTCTCAGATAACAGCAAAGATTGTGCTCATAGTGCAAGACACTATTAATAAATCTAGAGAGGACATAGATAAAAAATAGAGGATATGAGGAACATGATGAAATCCCAACATAGGAAACAAAATGATATCCATAAAACAGATTGAAATGGATTTCCAGGAGATTAAAAACTCCATCGAAAGTCTATGCAGCAGAATGAACCAATGTGAGGACAGAATTTCAGATATAGAAGATAAGATTACAATTAGTGACCAGGAAAAGAAAAATTGCTTTAAAATTGTAATGGACCATGAGAAATCAATCCAGTAGCTGCTAGACAATGCAAAGAAGAATAACATAAGACTGATTGGAGTCAATGAAGAAACAGGAGAGA